GTTCAACAGACACTTGATGATCAGCACTGAGGTGCCAGGCACAGTACCGGGTGCTCAGGGCGCATCAGTGAGCCATCTCCCTTTGGAGAGTATATTCTAGAGACGAACATACACGAGAACGCGAGCAGACAAACAATGACGTGCTGTGCAGAATGGAAGAGAATCCCCTTAGGGTGACTTCAATCGTGGAGGGCGTCGGGGAAGGGCTCTCTGAGGGGACATTCAAGCTGAAAGCCCATCAGGAAAAGGAGCGAGTAATAAAGAGCAGGGGGGAAAGTCCTTCAAACAGAGCGGATGTGCAGCGCTGTTCATTTAAAACGGCTGAGCCTTCAAAGACCCAGAGGAAGGCAAGAACATGGATGGCCCTTTTAAGGAGAGAGCGCCACGGAAGTTCGAGGGCAGGGGGAGGGCAGGCACAGCCCTCGCTCATCAGATGCAGCGGGAGCCTGGGAGGCCGGGGAGGCCGGTCATCCCCAGCCTGAGAGATACTTCTGCGCTCAGAATCACATCCCGGCGCTGCCCGTCTTCAATCCTGTCTCTGTTACTGATGGGATCGTGTCCAGATTCGGTGTGATGAGACTCAGCCCTTCCCGTGCTGGATGCCGCTTGCCTTTCTAGCCCTGTGCCCTGCACCCGCACGGTCACACGTTATCTGGACTCTCGAGCTGTACCTCCTTACGCGGGCCCTCTGTGTGTGAGGACCACCCTTTCCCCCTCTAAGACTCAGCTGGAGTTTCACAGGAGGAGACAGGAAATCGCTTTGTTATTTCATAGGCGACTCTACTGTCATCTTGGGCTGCTCTTTAGGTCTCTCCCACCAGCCTCTGAGCTCTTGAGGACGTTAGAGTCTGGATGTCAGGTGTTGTGGTCGTTATGGTGCCTGACACAGAGCTGGCCTTCAAAACGTGTTTACTGAGAGAAGGGAGGGAGGGAGGGAGGGAGGGAAGGAATGAAGTTTTGCCCAAAAGCACTAATCGAATACATGACATTCAGATTCCATCTACTCTAAGGTTTAGTTTATTTTTTTTAAATCAAATTGAATTTTAAAAACATTGCATGACTTTTACGTATGATGCATTAGCCCAGTCGGTTGTGAACGATGCTTAATTATCAGAGAGATTCTTAGCGAAGAAATGCAACGTGACATAATGGACAAGACTGGCTCTCTCCTGCAGATCTCAGGCCTTGAGCTCCCAAATCTCACTTCTGGAACACACATTACAGGGAGTATCTGATGGACAGTGGAGACGCGTCCACCCTGCACACGAGGAGAACAGGTTGTTTTTAAGACTTGAACCAATAAAAACTGAATTATCCATCCGTGGGAGGTAACTGTGGACTGAAATACCCCAAACTATTGCCTAGGTGACCAACCTGTCACCTCAACAACAGGGAAGATGGCATAAACAATATATAATGTTGCCCTGGTCGGCTTTGCTCGTGGTTAGAGCGTCGGCCCGCGGACCAGAGAGACCTGGGTTCGGTTCCCGCTAAGGGCACGTACCTCGGTTGCAGTTTGTCCCTGGCTTGTCCCTGGCTTGTCCCTGGCTTGTTCCAGGCCCTGGTTGGGGTTGTGTGGGTGGCAGCCAGTCGATGTATCTCTCTCACATCAATGTTTCTCTCTCTCTCTTCCCCCCTTCTCCCTCCCGCTCTATCTGAAGATAAATGCAAATATGTCTTTGGGTAAGGATAAAAAACAAACAATATATAATGCCAAGTAGAGACAAGCAATATGCAAGTCATAATGCACAGATATGATAAATACGTCCATCAAGACAAAGGAAAATTCTCTAAGTGAACAGACTGGCTGCATGGTTTATACATCAGCTCCTTGTGAATCTGAAAAGTGCAAGTTAGTACATTTGTCTCTGTGCAGTGAAAGATTAATACATGACAGAGGCTGAAGAGTAGTCTCCAAACTGTGGCCATTTCGCCATGGCTGTCGTGCTGTGTGACCTTGCCTGGCGGCCAGCGGGCCTGCTCCAATCAGCTCTCGCTGCAGCCGCAGACCCCACATTAAAACAAACGTTTTAGGCCAAAGTCAGCACAGGGAGTCCTTTCATCAGGATGACAACACAAGGCCAAGTGCATTCCATTCACGACCAGACATGGACTCGGAATGAAATGTAACTGACATAGCCCAGCTCCTGAGTGACCTTCAGATGCCAGTGTCAGTCAAATGATCCTAAAGCAAAATTAAGCTCAGGTTATACTGCCATATTCATCTGGAATGCATTACTAAATGAAGACATGCAATGGAGCTCAGGAGCCAACTCTGTGGTGGATTCCAGAGGTGCCTGAAGCAGGAGAAAACGAAAATGGTGCCCACAAGTCCTAGAAGTCTGCGATGCCACCTCTGACATTTCTAATGCTAAGACGTAAGTCACGTCTGCGTCACGCAAGCAGCTCTCGCCCACAGTAGACTACTGGAAAAGTCTCTTATCCAAATCACAATGAACATTCAGTGCAACAAGGCTGGAAATCCATGGGAAGGTTCATGGTCCTGAGTGGGTAACATGGCTGGACTGTCTCTTATCCGTATGGCAACCTGATATACTACAGCAGGACATGCTGAAAAAGAACTGAATAAAGTCAAAGGTGCTGCTGCCAGTGTGAAAACTCATACCCATAGTGCTATGCATCAAGGGGATGACACCAAGCAGGTTTGGTTTTCCCAGGCTCATGAAGGGGGCTCCTGTTGAGGAGCCAATGAACCTGAAGAATCACTTTCCAATGTCACCGACTCCATCAAAATGTTCAACTCCTGAAAGAAGACTAAACTTCCCTGCTGATATTTTTCACTTTTGTTTCTTTTTTTTTTTCATTTTTGCTTTGTCCTAGCATCATAATTTCCTGGTTTGAATTTATTCCAAACTCAATTCTTCTAGGCGACCTAATGCCTAAAGTCACTGGAGAATTCCTTCCTGCTTTTGATGGTGGAACTTTTTAGCCATTCTCTGCCCCTAATTCAAATCAATTACTGCAACATTTTTGGAGGTTTCATATCCAGACTCATGTATTTAGTTCTACTGTTAAGCTTAAATACTAAAAATAGACAGCTTGTTTGAATAACTATCGTGTCATTCAGGATATTTTTAGTTTTACGTGAATTTTTTAATGTTTGCGGTAAAGCAAAATGTTAAGCCCTTAACAAAGCTCCTTTGAGAGGAAAAGCAGTGTCTGAAAGTATCGTAAGTGTGTTTCAGTTCAGGACCTATGGAGTCTTCTGCTGGGCACCAAAGCCAAATAACTTCAAGCAATGCCGACAGAAGCATGAAGGGCGGTGAGGTTTGAGACACTGCTAAACTCATGAGACTGTATTACTACTCAGAAAATATCATCATGACATGTGGAAATAAAGGTTTACATGTAATTGACTACTGAGAAAAAGGAGCATTGTTTTCAGGTGAGACACAAATTTAGAAAGATAAGATGGTTCTTGGTCTACTTTTCTTTTCTTTCTTTTTTTTTTTTTTTATCCTCACCCGAGGACATTTTTCCATTTTGTGTTCAGATAGAGCAGGAGGGAGAGAGAGAAACATCGATGTGAAGGGACACATCGAGTGGCTGCCACCCGCACGACCAACCAGGGCCGGGGACAAACTGCATCCGAGGTACGTGCCCTTAGCGGGAACCGAACCTGGGTCTCTCTGTACCGCAGGCCGACGCTCCAACCGCTGAGCCAAACCGGCCAGGGCTGGTCTACTTTTCTATAGACTAAGAAAACTATTTATAGGTAAAATGCCCTCTCTTTAAATGTCTCATTTCAAATGGAGTCAAAGACCACCACATTGAAATAGTGTCATTTGACAAAAAAGAAGAGATTAAGAAACAATGACATGGCAAGTGGACGAAGAAAAGGTCCTTGAGAATGTTATGCTAAGAGAAATGAGTCAGTCAGACAAGGCTAAGGACCTTAGCCTAATGATCTCCCTCACGCGTGGGATATAAAGCTGAAACTCACAAACAGTGTGGTGGTTGCCAGAGAGAAGGGGGTGGGGAGATAGTAAAGTGGCCAAATATATGGCAACGGAAGATGATTTGACTTTGGGTGGTGGGTACACAATTTAGAAGCAATATACAGATCATGTATCATAGAAATGCGCATTTGAAAACTATATGATCCTATTAACTAATGCCACCCAGTAACATTAAAAAAAGAACAAAGAAAGAAAAGTGTTTCTCCGTAATAGTGTGTAGTAAAGAAATGGTGGAATTTGTATATTACAATTTTGAAAACTTCTACTAAAATAATGAATCTAGGCAAAGATCATTAGTAATTGATAATATCATAAAGAGAAAATCAGATATTATGTACTTCATGGTAGAATATACAATATTATCCAGGAAGTATTTTCCCCCCACTCAGGAGAAGTGTCTAGATCAAACTAACAGTTTGCAGGAGCCACAGGGGACAGAAGAACATAATAAATGAGAACATGGTGATACAATTGGCAAAATCTTGTGGGAAACTCCACAGAACAAGTGACATGATTTCTTTGAAAATTAATTACAAAGGGGAAAAAAAAGAAAGGATGGTGGAAACCTAGCTTAAAAGAAACCTGAGAGACACATCAAAAGCAATGCATGAAATTTGTTTGGATCCTCCATCAAACTAAGTATAAACAAAGGGATGAAGTAGTGACTACAGGGACAATCAAGAGAAATTAGAACTACATGCTTGATGATATTGAGAAATCACTGTAAATGTTTTTTAGTGCATGATAATGGCACTGGAGTTAGGCTTGAAGATGTGTCCTTATCTTTTAGCCACGTGTTGACATTTTTAACAGATGAATTAAGTCTGAGTTTTGCTTCATAATAATCTAGTCGGAGATAGCGTGCTTCAGACGAAATAAGATGAAACTGTTTTGTAGCTGGGCAGTGGGGACATGGGATTTGCTATGGCATCCTAACTGTTTATATGTTTGAAATCTTTCATAATAAAAAGCTGAAAAAACATTAAAGGTTGGGGGAAAAAAATGATAGAGAAGACTTACCCTGCTGGATATCCTTCATTTCTAAATGCAAACTAGATATCAAGATTCCCACAGTTTGAGATCGTTTTCCATCCAATAGCTTGATGATCTGGAATTTAAACATAAAATTAACACAAGTGCAAATGGCCATGCAATCTTTCAGAAGCATATCAAAAACGTTAAAATTTTCAGATACTGTTGCACTAAACAGATGCTACAGTTGCTCTATTTTAATAACCCTTTAATTTAAAAGCAATTTATCCACAATCATAGATATTTTAGAAAATAAAGAAAAAAATACTACCCCAAATTCCACCAATCTAATATGAGCACTAAAATTCTTTAATATATTTCTCTAACCTTTTATTCAAACCTTTCATTCTTAACTAAGTTGAAATCACAATATAGGCCAATTTTATATCCAACGTTTTGACTTATCATTGGCATATTTTCATGTTGCTACTTTTTAAGTCACTCCGTAGCCTCCATTCCTGGCTGTGTCATCTGCTGGGTGTTTTAGGGGAAAGATCACGCGACCTTGGCTCAGCAGGTCATCAGTGCTATGGCCTTTGGAAAGTGACTTAACCGCTGGGATTCAACTTCATCATGTGCAGCTGACTGACCCAGCTTGTACATTTGTTCTAGAAATTAAATGACATCGTATGTAAAGTACCTAGAGGCGTTCTTGATGCCGATTATGTAGATAAGTTTTTCCAGTTTTGGAGAATTAGGTTGCTTCGTATTTGTGCTATGATTAATATAAGTGATGCAATATTTTGTACATAAAGCTTTAATTTTAAATTGTTTAAAATGTTTCTTTATAATAATATATTCGTATACCAAAACTTTTACAATTTCTTTAGAAACCCCAACTACCTCACTGAGTTGTGTCGATCTTGATGACTATCCATGGCAAGTGCTTCCTGGTTTGTGTTCCTCCAAACCCAGTGAGCCAAGTCAGTTCCCAGCAACATACCACACAGTGATCACTAAGGGAAAGTTACCTCTTCTCTCATGTGCCACAGCTACAAAAATCACTATGCCATGCACATCGCCGAATCTTGTGTTTTTAAATGCACTTTCTTAGGTAAAATAGAAACTAAACAGCTATGCTTCTCCTACCCAAGGATTTATAAACTTACCAAAACATACTGAAGACAAGATTAAACAGTAAGTAACATGAACACGCAGACTAGTACTAGACTGGCTGTTTGCTGGTTGAACAAGAAGACATACTGTGACTTTGTTCCACCCAAGATTGTCTAATCGTGCAAATTGTCCAATTACCTATTGATCGATCAATCCTGAATCATTATTGCCAGACCTTTGTCTTTCCTTTCTCTGCTCAGAGTGGCTACTTTTCTATAATTAACAGAACTAAAATATAGTAAATAACAAGCTTTCATCAAGATAAAAGCAAAATCGAGTTTTTCAGTCTATGCGTTTAATAATTTCAACATTAGTCTTAGAGAAAGATTCTGGGGGATACATAATGTCAAGAGTTTTAAAATAAATAGAGAAGAAACTTGGAATTTTAAATTTATTTTTATATGAAAGCAAAAGCAGAGGAGGAAGAGATTATATATAATCAAATATCTTCTTTGAAAATGCAAGTTCTGGCTTTTTCCTAGATAGAGGACACAAATCTGTAATACTTTCAACAATTAAAAAAAAGTAAAGTGAGATGATTTTTAAAAGTCCAATACAAAATTTGAAAAACATAAATTTTAAGTAAATCTTCAGCCATGCATTCTCATCCAACAAACCCCTGCTGTGGCAGTGCTCTGGACCCCAGGGATGGAGGTGGGAGGCTGAGCCAGTCCTTGCCCTCAGGAAGTCTGCAGAGCTTAGTGCCTTTTTAAAATTGCTGAAAAGAACCAAAAACGGAAATAAAACCATCTAACCACAAAGCACATTCAAAAGAAAAAAGGCGTTGGGAATTGACTAGATTTGCTCTTCAGTGTCCAGGCCAGTGACGGATACAATCGACATCAAAGAGACAGGAATGGGAATAAAATGTATGAAAAAGATCACAACTGGGTAGCAGAGATTCCTTCAAACTAACGTTCTCCAAGCCATCCAGTTAGAGTTCTGAAAACCATGAGTGATACATTGTACCTGCAGGGAAGTTACGGTTCAAATGCTAGTTTTTCTAATAGCTAATGAAAAGAAAGCAAGACAGCAACCACAGGAGAATTGGGAGGTGGGGGGAGGAAAGAGGGGAGGGAGAGGGGGAGGAGGGGGGAGAGGGAGAGAAAGAGAGGGAGAGAGAGAGAGATTGTCTGTCTGTCACTAGGAAAACCAAGCAAATCCATCCATCCATCCCCACCTCATTCACCTCATTGCTCAGTCAGGCTGAACTGTGGAAAGGATGTCACCACAGTGAGTCTGCCTTGCAATTTTGTCTAATGGCTCAACACAGCAGGTGTTTAGAAAAACAACGTTACCTTTAGCTGGATACTCACTTTAAGAGTTTTCTGAAATGGGATGCTGTCTCTTAGAAAAGGGTAAGCAGTGGTAAGTCAAAGTGTCTGTATTCTCTTCCCTCTCTGTGTCAAATTCTCTGTCTACTTCCGACTAGACCTGTAAACACATACCTCTAAGTTTCCATGCAGTCTTCCCTCAATTGTGCAATAATACCAGGTTTCTCAAAAACAGCTAAAATGGTAGGAACACATGTCCTGAGCCCTTTTAGTTTCTTTTCCCCACAATGGGTTGAAAGAATAACATGAAATTTACCCATTAACAACATATTAGGCGTACAGCACAGTACTGTTACCTATGTGCACACTGCTCTGTAAACATCTCTAGAAGTTCTTCATCCTGCATGACGGCAACTCTGGGCCCACTGGACAGCTATTCCCCATTGTCTCCTCCCAACCCCTGGCAGCTTTCTGCTTCCGTGAGTCTGACTACTTTCACACCTCATATAAATAGAAGTATTCGTCCTTCTGTGACTGGCTGACTTCACTTAGCGTCATGTCCATGAGGTCCTCCATGTTTTATCATATGACAGAATTTCCCTTTGAAGGCGGAATAATATTCCATTGTGTGTGTGTATGGGGGGGGGGGGTTATACACACACACACACACACACACACACACACACACAATCACCTTGTCTTTATTCATTTATCCATTGATGGACAGTTAGGTTATTTGTATTTCTTGGCTATTGTGACCAATGCCTCCATGAACATGACAGTGCAAATACCTCTTTGAGATCCTGTTTTCAAGTCTTCTGAATAAATATCCAGAAGTGGTGTTGCTAGATGATGTGGTTGTTCTATTTTTAATTTTTTGAGGAATTTCCATACTGTTTTTCATGGTGATTGAACCATTTTACATTCGTACGCACAATGCACAAGGGTCCCAGTTTCCTGAAATCTTCACCACTTGTTTTTTGTCTCTTTCTCTCTTTCATTTTATTTTTTTATAATGGCCGCCTAACAGGGGTGAGATGATGCCTCATGCTGGTTTTGATTTGCATTTCCCTGATAATTAGTGATGTTGAGCATCTTTTAATACACCTGTTGGCCATCTCTATGTCTTTGGAGAAAGATCGATTCAAGTCCTTTGCCCATTTTTTATTAATTAATTTATTTGTTACAGATGGTTTTGTTTGTTTTATTGTGTTAAGGAATTCTGCACATATTTTGAAATAGTAACACCTTGTCAGATACGTGGCTTCTCAGTGCTTCCTCCCATTTCATAGGTAGCCTTTTCACTCTGCTGATTATTTATTTTGCTGTGCAGGAGCTTTTCAGTCGGCCGTAGTCCCACTTGTCTGTCTGTGCTTTTGTTGCCTGTGCCTTGGTGTCATATCCAGGAAATAATTGCCCGGACCAATGCTATACAGCTTTTCCCCGGGTTTTCTTCCACACGTTTTATAGTTGCAGATCTTACGTTCACGTCTCTAACCCCAAAATCAACCCAGTTGATTTTTGTTTACCCTGTAAGGTAAGTGTCCCGTTTCTGTCTTTGGATATGGAGGTGCAGTTTTCCCAACACCATTTGTTGAAGAGACTATCTTTTCTTGGAACATTTTGTTAGAAACCATTTGACCATGTGTGAATTTATATCTGGGCTCTCTCTCCGGCTCCACTGGCCGTAAGTCTGTATTTATACCAGCACATACTGCCGTGAACACTGCAGCTTGGCATGTGTTGAATGGAAAGTGAAGGATAGCATCAAACAAATTACAAGAAAAAATTAGAAGGAGAGGGTTAAAACAACAAAGAGTAGCATATATATACATATATGTAATGTATATATTAAATACACTTAAGTCCAATATGCAAAATGACTAAAAGGAATCACACAGAAGAAAACAACACATTAGACTAATAAACAGACCAAATGGGAATTCAGTCAACTAAAAATTCTGGCCCACGATTATAGTATATATCCAGATCTTTCTGAAATGATTTAGTCATTGAGCCCAGCAGGGGTGGGGAACATCCGGCCCACGGGCCATATAAGGTCCGTGAAATCAATACTAGCTAACATCACATGCCTCACCAAATTAGCCTGACCAAATATAGTAGGTGAATTTTTAAGTTGATAATTTTGTATGGCTCATGAATGATGTTATAAATGTCCAAATGGCCCTTGGCAGAAGAGAGGTTCTCCACCCCTGGATGTGAGGAGAAGGTGTTGGGGGCAGGGAGAAGGGGAAAAAAAGGAAATTTGATAACCAAAAGGGAGAAAAAGGAAGAGAGGTGTTCTTTAGGCTCTCTGGTCATATTTTGTGAGCTCGTGGCCAAGTCTTGGCCAACCTCATCTCGGGAGCAAAGACTGGAATGAGCAACGGTTCCTTCACTGAACACACATTTGTTAAATGACTCTATTTGCCAGGGATTGAGCTCAGAATTAAAGATGTATAAAGTTCTGGAGAGTTGATAAGTTCACAGAAATATTTATTCATTTTTTTTTCTATTTTCTTTTTGTAAATTTACTGTTCTGGATTATAAAAACAAAAACTGCTTGTTGTAATAAAAACACATAAACTGCTTAGAAAGCAAACAAGGAAATCATGGAATGCTCTCTCATTCCCCAACCTACCCAGCTACCATCACTAGTAATGGGGGGTTGTCTCCTCTGTCTAAC